TGATTTACTGTAGATCTTTTAAGAAAAGGCTTTCATATCTCTTTTCAAAAATCATTTTAGGGGCACCTAGGTGGCTCAGTCGGTTGAAGTGTCCAACTCTTGATTTCGGCTCAGGTCATGATCTCACGGTTTGTGGGACTGAGCCCCGTGTCGGGGTCTGTGCTGGCAGCACAGAGCCTGCTTGGGGTTCTCGCTGTTCCTCTTGCTGTGCCCCTCCCCCTTCACTTGCACACTCTCTCAAATTAAATAAACATTAAAAAAAATTATTTCAATTTCAGCCTACTAAGGAAAAGCAAGGATGAAGGGATCAGTCAACAGGAAAGCCTAATTATAAGCTACATTAAAAAGTTATCAAATGAGGACATCTGGGTGGCTCAGTTAGTTAAGCATCCTCAGCTCAGGTCATGATCTCACGGTTCGTGAGTTCGAGCCCCGCATCAGGCTCTGCACTCTCAGCACCGAGCCTGCTTTGGATCCTCTGTCTCCCTCTCTCTGTGCCCTCCCTCACTCGTGCACTCTCTCTCTCTCTCTCTCTCAAAAATAAGCGAATAAACATTAAAAAAAAGTTATCAAATCACTTTATTGAAATAATAAGGGTAAGTCTGTAGGAACCGGAAAGTTTCATCTTTTACTCCAAATGAAAAAACGAATAAAAATACCAGATATGGATACAATGACTATATTTCTAATCAGGCAAAGAAGCAGAAGATGAGAGGAGACGCTCTCCTTCGTCCTCTTGAGCCTCATGCAAAGCCCGCTGACTTGGGTGAAGCGGGGCTATACTAGGAGTCCCAGCCTAAGATGTGCCTGAATGTTGCAGGCCCACATGTTTCTGATGAAAAACAACCAGGGGCTGCCTGTTTTCAGGGGTGCCTTTGGTTCAGGGGAAAACAAGGTCCAAAGCTCCCCACTTTAACTGCCAAACTATACACCAAACAAGAAATACTCGGGGGGGGGGGGGGGAGGAGAAAGAAATACTCTGAATTACTTTGTAACCAAAGTGATACAATGAAAACTAGATGTCTTATTCAACACTGATGTAAGACGTATATTAATATATGCTAACACAATTATTCACTTCTGGAGTTGGAAAGATCCCATGAAGAATTTTATGGGAAGGAAGAAGACAACATACGTTTAAAGTACCTGGTGTGAAAGCATGTAAAATAATTAAAATTTCAGCACATTGTTACGGCAAACTACTGGGAAGAGGCACAAAGAAGTGGTACAGGCGTGCGAGACATCACGTGCGTGACATGCCACCTGGCTGGATCCATATGTGCTACTAGAGAACCAGCTCCAGAGTCTATTAAGAGAAGTTCGCGGTTCGTGAGTTCAAGCCCCGCGTCGGGCTCTGTACCGATGGCTCAGAGCCTGGAGCCTGTTTCAGATTCTGTGTCTCCCTTTCTCTCTCTGCCCCTCCCCCGTTCATGCTCTGTCTCTCTCTGTCTCAAAAATAAATAAACGTTAAAAAAATTAAAAAAAAAAAAAGAGAAGTAAAGCAAGATGTAGGACAGTATACAGAGTACGGGACAGAAGATGTAGGACGTTATACAGAGTATGGGAGAGAAGACAGTTTATTTTTAGGTAGAGAACAGTATAAAAAAGGATTTTTTAAAAGTACCTTGTGCTATCTTCTTAGTGGTGCCTCTTTTGGTTCTGGAGCTTCTTTTTCCAGGTATTTTTTTGTCCTTTCCCATGGAGGCCTGCCCGTCCTTGGGGCTTTCATAGGAAGTGTCCCCCAGGTTCTCACACACAGCCAACTCACAGCTGGGGGTGCAGCTCTCATTATTGTTGAGACTGTCCTGCTCGCACACTGCAGGTCTGCCCATTGCACTGGCACCCGGGCTCAGACGCTCCTGCCCGTCCCCGTCAAGCTGATTTTCATTTTCATCCGATGCAGAAGCTAAGTGTGTTACTGTACTTCCCACGCCGTCACCAGGATGATACCCATCTTGTGGTTCTATCTGCAGATTATATGTAGGAGTTTCGCTGTCATCCATTAGAGCATCTTTTGTTGAACCATTTATGTTTCATCAAAGTCCTTCCATGTCTACAACGACAAAAGAGAAAAAAAGCTATTTCATTTTCTAAACCCTGGGTTCTCAGTGATCGTTGTCTCTTGGGTCGTTTCGCTGTGAGCAGGGAAAGGATGGACATGACCACAGCTCACTCCTACTACTTCTTCTCGCTCACCACCCCACCCAACCTCCACTGGTTCCTGCTTGAAGACAAGCGTTCTCAACCCTTGCTGTGTGTTTACTACCTGGAGAGCCTGTCCAAGATGGAGCCCTGGTACTGATATACTTAGGTAAGTTCTCCGTGTTACTGTCCCGTGCATGATGTTGGGACCCCTACCTTAATGAAAGCAATGAAACTACTGGTTAAATGAGGTCATCTGCTAAAATCCATCACTCATATGTTATCCCTGGATACTTACCAGACAAATGAAAGCCGGATAAGTCCTCATCTGGCTGGAAAACAGCAATATTTGCCAACGAGCACATTTAGGATATTTTTTAAATAAATTGAAAAAAAGGTATGTAGAAAATTTAGGGAGTATATGCTTATACCATAGTCTCATTACATCATTTATTTCCACAAAGCAAGCCCTGGAAAGTACCTTAGAATTGTCAGCAAATTCCTTTTATACAATTGAAAAAAAAAAAAAAAAAAAAAGGGAGGGCCACAATTAACTCTAGACTAGTTTAGACTTGGAAAATCTAAATCTGCTCCAAGGATCCTTCTAACATTTTAAAACTACACAAAACAGATTCTAAGCCTCTCTTGTCAGACATGTCTTGTCCCCTCTTATCCTCTGAAAGTATATTACATTTTAAGGAAAAATTATGCCAGCTAGAATTTAAAATTTTTTGCTTGCCAATCACTATTTTGGGTTTGAATCAAATATAATATTCCAGTTATCTGAGAAAAAGTTTAGTGATTTTTTTTTTAAATTCTTCAAATTAACAGAAATGCTTATTTGGCCTTTAGAATCATGTAAATAAAGTATAATTCTTTTATTTTATTTTTTTTAAAAAAAAATTTTTTTTTTCAACGTTTATTTATTTTTGGGACAGAGAGAGATACAGCATGAACGGGGGAGGGGCAGAGAGAGAGAGGGAGACACAGAATCGGAAACAGGCTCCAGGCTCTGAGCCGTCAGCCCAGAGCCCGACGTGGGGCTCGAACTCAAGGACCGCGAGATCGTGACCTGGCTGAAGTCGGACGCTTAACCGACTGCGCCACCCAGGCGCCCCAAAGTATAATTCTTTTAAAACATGAAGACAAAGTACAAAATAAAACATCAGCCCTACCTGGATTGTATCACATGTTTTCAACGTATTTTGCAACTGGAGTATTTTATTTGTTTTGTTTTTTTTTTTTTAATTTTTTTTTTTCAACGTTTATTTATTTTTTTGGGACAGAGAGAGACAGAGCATGAACGGGGGAGGGGCAGAGTGAGAGGGAGACACAGAATCGGAAACAGGCTCCAGGCTCTGAGCCATCAGCCCAGAGCCTGACGCGGGGCTCGAACTCACGGACCGCGAGATCGTGACCTGGCTGAAGTCGGACGCTTCACCGACTGCGCCACCCAGGCGCCCCTGGAGTATTTTATTTGATTCAAACATAAAAATACCTAAATCTGGATGGTATCATTTTCCTTTTACCACATATCTCTACTAACTTAGGTTTAGCCCTGAAATAAATTCTAAACACAGTATAGTTCTTAATTTAGAAAGCTATTATTTTAATGAGGTATCTTTGAGATCACTATCATGAGAGAACCCAGCCTCAAATGACTGTTGAAACGTCTGTGGCTGGAGGAGCCTGGGTGGCTCAGTCGGTTAAGTGTTTGACTCTTAGCTCAGGGCTCCGCGCTGGGCATGGAGCCTACTTACTAAAAAAATAAAAAATAAAACCTCTGTGGCTAAGACAGACAGAGATCAACAGAACAGGAGAGAGAGCCCCGAAATAAACCCACATGTATATGGTCAACTAATCTATGACAAAAGAGGCAAGAATATACATAATGGGGAAAATATAATTTCTTCAATAAACGGTGTGGGGAGAACTGAACAGTCACATGCTAAAAAATGAAACTGGACCGCTTTCTCACACCAAATATACAGAAAAATAAATTCAAAATGGATTAAAAAGACCTAAATGTGAAACCTGAAACCATAAAACTCCTAGAAGAAAACAAGACAATAAACTCTTAGATATCAACCTTAGCATCATTTTCTAGATATATCTTCACAGGCAAGGGAAACAAAGACGAAAACCTATGAGGAGTACATCAAAATAAAAAGCTTTTGCATAGCAAAGGACACCAACAAAATGACAAGGCAATCTACCGAATGGGAGTTAATAAGGTTAATATCCAAAACACATAAAGAACTTCTACGACTCAACACCAAAAAGCCAAATAATCTGATTTAAAAAATGGGCAGAGCACCTGAACAGACATTCTGCCAAAAACCAAACCACACCAAAAACAACCCAAAAACATATAGATGGCCAAGAAAACATGAAAGGATGCCCAACATCACTAATTATCAAGGAAATGCAAATCAGAGCCACAATGAACCTCACGTCATACCAGTAAGGATGGCTAGTGTCAGCAAGACAAAAAATACTAAGTGTTGAAAGAATGTGGAGAAAAGGGAACCCTTGCACGCTGTTTGTGGGAATGTAAACTGGTGCAGTCACTATGGAAGACACTATGGAAGTTCCTCAAAGAATTAAAAATAGAACTACCATCTGACGCAGTAATTCCACTGCTGGGTATTTACCCAAAGAAAACAAAAACACTAATTTGAAAAGATGTATACACCCCTACATTTATCACAGCAGTATTTACAACAGCCAAGTATGGAAGCAACCTACGTATCCACTGATTTAACGAATGGATACCGAAGACGTGGTATATATATATATACGCGATGTAATGAAACTCAACCATACAAAGGGGTGACATTTTGCCATTTGTGACAACAGGGTCTTATACTAAGTCACATGAGTCAGATAAAGACCAATACCATATGATCTGACTTATGTGTGGAATCTAAAAACCAAACTCACCAGCCAAACAACAATAACAACAGCAAACAGAAACAGAATCACGAATACGGAGAACAAACTGTTGATTGCCAGAGGGAGGGGGTTGGTTGTAGGGGCAAAAATGGTGAAGGTGATTAAGAGGCAGAAACTTCCAGTTATAAAAGTACAGCACAGGGAGTATATTCAATAATACTGTAATAACTCTGTACAGTGACAGATGGTAACCACACTCACTTAATGGTGAGTATAGCAATACATAAAATTGGAGATTATGTTGTACACCCGAAACTAATATGACATCTTATGTCAGATATTACTTCAATAAATAAATAAACAAGTAAAGTACATGTGGCTAATATGGCAGAAACTACCCAGATGTGCACTGATGGATGAGTAGATAAACAAAATGTGGTATTATTCATAAAGGGAATATTATTTAGCGCTAAGAAGGAATGAAGTTCTGATATATGCTAACACATGTACGGTCCTTGAAAACATTATGCTAAGTGAAATTAACCTGACACAAAAGCATGAAAACGGTATGATTCCACAATAGGCAAATTGATGGAGACAGAAAACAGATTAAAGGGGCTGAGGGCAGGGGAGAAAAGGGAGTTTTGGTTACAGAGTGTTTGCTTTGGGTGATGGAAAAGATCTGGAAACGCAGTGGTGATGGTTACACAGCAGCATCGATGCAATTAATGCCACTGCATTGTAGAGTTAAAAACGGTGAAAATGGCATACTTTATGTTTTATATATATTATCACAATAGTGAAAAGAAATGTGTGTGGCTATGAAGGAAAAATGTCAGCCCTTAAAACTAGTAACAGCCTTAGTTATTTCTGATTTAAACAATCAAGTTATATTCTGACATGTATCTGAAAGTACAGACACGTAGGTCACGTGCCAAGGAGGAAGTGGAGAGCAGAAAGCAGTCTAGAGAGCCGCAAACAACCACACTTACCTCCTGTTAAGTTTCCTTCATGCGTTAGAAACTGTGACAGGCACTTTACACATTTTATACCTAACCCTCCACGCAAGCTACACAGGAGGTACTCATACTGTGTTTCAGATGAAGAATCTCAGGCTTGGACAGGCAAAAACAACTTGTTTAAGACCATATTCCTGGGGGGGAGTAGAACAGGATGTGAAACCAGGTCCTTCTCACAGGAGTCTTGTGCAGTCCAGTATCCAAAGGCTGAGAACTCAGGCCGACTGAGGCTCAAATGCTGGTGCTGTCTAGCCTCTCCAGGCTCCAACCTCCTCATCTGTAAGTGGAGAACCACTGTACCCACCTCAGAGTCAGTTGTGAGGCTCAGATATCATGGCAGGTAACACACTCAGTGCCGTGCCTGGCACGCAGTGAATGCTCAAAGTTAGCCATCATTACTCCCTGAGAAACCTCATAGGCCGGTGTTCAACACTGGTAGGTTTATTCAAGTGGGTCCCTAGCCTTCCTGCAGGTTCAGAAACAGAGCTTTTCCAGACTTTCCAGAAATGATAAACTAATGCTAACCAGCATCACTTGAAAATGCTGGAGTTTAATTTATCATGGGAATATTTCATTTGGTTACTAGAACACCTAAGCATCAGTTCTGTGCATCCTGTTTCAAATGATTAAGCTACCTAGAAATTAGTGATTAGGGCTTCTTGGTGAGTATAAAATTTCAGATCGCATTTCGCAGTTTTGTTGAATGTCATGTACCGAGCCCTGTGTTCAACTTTTCAGATCAATACTCTTATTCAGTTCTCAGAATTACCCTAGCAAATAGGTAACTTTTAGTACCGTAATACTAATGAAGAAACCAAGGTTCTTATGTCTTCAAGACTCAGTCTGCTAGTGAGGTCAAAAATGGAACATGGACCAGTTATGATTCTGAGGCCATACTCTCAATCATTATGTTCTAAGGACAAAGGGGGAGAAACCCACTGAAAGAGCATTTCACTCCAGCTGTGGTGTACCTCAAGGGAAACATTCCACCTACAGCAGGGGACATGGCTGTAACGACCAAGGAGTTCAAGTTCCTGGAAGTACTCTCTTTTCCGGGGAACTTCCGGATCCACACGAAACACCGTTCCCTATGGCTCGCCTTCTTGTGTTGAGAACTCTTTCGGGCCTCAAGACGTTTTTCTGTCTACTGTTTCGTGATAACGTAATTTAATTCTCAAAAGGTAACTTTGTAAACTCCTTTCCAACACTAATTCTCAGTCTTTCCAAGGTGTGAATGTCCTATAATTATTCTTACAGGGTACCTCCCAATTATTCAAGGCCTGGCTCCAAAGTCCACCCCCACCCCCAGCCCCCATCCCTGGTCTCCACTCCAAAAGACCCGTGCAGAACCTACTGCTCTTAACCGCTGTGTCACACACGCAGCCCTTTCCAAATCCTGCTCTGCACTAAGTGTTTCTGCACAAGTGTCCTCTTAGATTTAAGCTGCTTGAATACCCATAACCCAGCCACAGATCATTTTTATCTTTCACAATACGTAGCCCCAGGCCTTGGGGTTTTGAGACACAATAAATGCGCAGGACTGACTCCGGCATATTTTGGCTTTTAACAGCATGGTTGTGAGCACTGCCCAAGTTTCCAGCCTCTTGGGTGAAAACAGCATTCCTAATATGTACACTGTGCTAAAGTCATCTGACAGGTTGACTCTGTGCAGCTGAAAATTTCAAGCCCTCATATCCAAGTCAGGCTTAGACAAAGCTTGAAAAACCACAAGGCTTTGCGGAAGAAGCTTTAAGTAAAGCAATAATTCAGAGTAACAGACTAACAAAAAGAAACCCACATTTTGTCAAAAATACTCTCAATCCCAGGTATAATTTGACTTCCTCTTTTGATACATCCTAATGGATATCTGCTGAGATTAAATATCAGGTGTCACTAAAACTAAAAACTTTATAGGAATGGTTAAACATATAATACCCAATTATTTTATTAAAACCCTTGAAGGAGATTTTGAGTGACGTTTTTCTATAATCCATACCAATTAGGCCTCAATACATACTTTTTTTTTTTTAATTATTTTTTTAAACGTTTATTTATTTTTGAGACAGAGAGAGACAGAGCATGAATGGGGGAGGGTCAGAGAGAGGGAGACACAGAATCCGAAACAGGCTCCAGGCTCCGAGCTGTCAGCACAGAGCCCGACGCGGGGCTCGAACTCACGGAGTGCGAGATCGTGACCTGAGCCGAAGTCGGCCGCTCAACCGACTGAGCCACCCAGGTGCCCCCCCCCCCTTTTTTTTAAAATAAGCTCTAGACCCAACGCGGGGCTTGAACTCAGAACCCTGAGATCAAGAGTTGCATGTGCTACGGACTGAGCCAGCCAGGTGCCCCTTCTTAAGAATTAAGATGCAACCCCGAGTTGAAATTTGATGACTTCATAGTCAAACCAAAATTTGAAGGAAGGCAGTTTCCTAACCAATAAGATACTGTATTAACCACAAGTTCAAATTTGGCGACTCTGAGTCAGTTCAGAATTGAGAAGAAATTCACCATACACAGATGTTGTATTTACTATGGGGATTAAACATCACTTTACATTTTACCATCTTACTACATATTCTAACACCCTTACTTCCCAGTGCTAAATCTCAAATTTTCTGTGATTTATGCTTTGTTTAGATACACGTACCTGTAGGCAATATTCAGTGTATCAGTAATAAAAAGTATGCCTTAGAGGAATGATTTTCAAAAATTTTGCAACCCAGAATAAGAAATTCAATTTTCACTGAGATCCTGTACACACAAAATATGTATCTATAATGGCAACAAAGGTTCCTTGAAACTAAACACATTCTGATACATTCTCTATTCTATTTGATACTATTTCATATTTTTAAAAATGTTGATCGTGGTGCCTGGGTGGCTCCGTGGATTAAGCATCCAACTCTTGATTTTGGCTCAGGTCATGACCTCACAGTTCATGACACTGAGTCTGTGTTGGGCTCCCCAACTCATTCATATCCTCTCTCTCTCAAAATAAATAAACATTAAACACATTTTAAAAAGGCTGATTGAGATACATTAGGTTGATTTCATACTCTGCTAATGAACTCTGACCACAGCAACATGTTATGAGGTGGTTTCTAGGAATTAATAGTATCTTAACCTGAGGACAACCATCCAAGGACCAGAGAAGTTTGTGATTATCTCCAATCTGTTTTCTGAAAACGATGACAATCATGTGAAACTCAGACATCAATTTCATTAAAATGTCCCTATAATTTTAATATCATGATTTTTGCTAATTTATATCATTCTCCTCCCCTTAAAATTTAATTAAAATATTAAGCTTGATCCAGGGTCCCTTAACCGACATCTTCAGCATGAGGTATATTCTATAACCGTGCTGTTCAGTGTGGTAGCCACAAGCCACAAATGGATACAGAGCATTTAAATATGCACAGTGAGATGGAGAAGCTGAATTTTTACTTTTATTAAATTTCAATTAATTTAAATTTAAAAACAGGTATCAATTCAGCTATTGAAAAACCTATGCATGTTTGGAACAAATTGAGTATGTGAATCTGCTTTCTTTTTTATAATTTTTTTCATGATTATTTATTATTTGTTTAACATTTATTTATTTTTGGTTCCAGGCTCCGAGCTGTCAGCACAGAGCCTGACATGGGGCTTGAACACATGAACCACGAGATCATGACCTGAGCTGAAGTCGGACACTCAACCGACTGAGCCACCAGGTGCCCCTTCATGATTATGTATTCTGAGAGAAAAAGAGAGAAAGAGAATGAGAGAGAGAGAATCCCAAGCAGGCTCCATGCTGTAAGTGCACAGCCCTACGTGCGGCTCAAACTCATGAACTGTAAGATCATGACTTGAGCCGAAATCAAGTGGTGGACACTTACCACACTAAGCCACCCAGGTGCCCCTGAACCTGTTTTCTCACCTGTAAGTTAAAAGTCTAAATACAGATCGAGTATTTCCAATGAAAAATGTGTCCAAATTGAGACGTACTGTACTTGTAAAATACATACCATATTTCATTTCAAAGACCACTGTGAATCCAAAGAATGTAAAATAGCTTATCAATACTTTTAAATATTGATTATATGTTGAAACAATATTTTGATCTAATGGGTTAAGTCAAAAATTATTAAAATTAATTTCACCTTTTAAAAAGCTTCTTTACTGTGGTTACTAGAAAACAAAATTCTATATATGGCTCACATTTTATCTTTACTGGACAATGCTGCTCTCCAGGACACTGTCTGGACAAATGCCACAGTAGCCACTCGTGGCTCATGGTAATCACTCCACCCCGGGTTCATTCTTGCTTATGCATGTTATGCTGTAGGCATTTCCTGGCCATAGATGTTGCTATTACTAAGATTAAACAAGGTAAATAGTTACTGAAGGAAATAGACTCTATATGCTTTTTTTTTTAAAGTTTTTTTTTTTTTTTTTTTTTTTTTTTTTAATGCTTATTCATTCTTGAGATACAGAGAGACAGCATGAGTAGGGGAGGGCCAGAGAGAGAGGGAGACACAGAATCCGAAGCAGGCTCCAGGCTCCGAGCTGTCAGCACAGAGCCCGATGTGGGGCTCAAACCCACAAACTGTGAGATCATGACCTGAGCTGAAGTCGGACGCTCAACTGACTGAGCCACCCAGGCGCCCCTAGACTCTATATGCTTTTAAAATCACTTTGCATCTGCTTGTCCACATGGACGTTCAGGACGTAAACCCAGGATCACACCATCCTTTCTTCTAGGTACTTCTTGACGTCCAGATTAACTAGTGGGACAGCCTTACGGTAATCTTTCTAAATACTTGGATTTCAATGTAATGGCACAGTACAATAGTTAACCAGATTATTTTAATACTTCTTTAATAAGAATAAAAAACAATTTCATAATAAGAAATTCATTCTCAATATAGAAACAAGAAAGGTCATAAAAATGTATGCTGTAGGAAGGAGGATAAAAACATGACAAAGTACATGACAAAACCACAAGACTGTAAAAGAAAACACCAGAAAAATGATCAGTTATAGTCAAACGTAAGGTAATGATTCTAAGGAAGAAAATAACAAACATGGATGTTTATTTATACAGAGAATGAGTCTAGAACACGAAGCCCGCAACGTTGGGCCCCAAGGGGGACCTAGGCGTGCCGGTGGAGGTAGGCACGACGGCCAGGACCACAGCCCCAGAATACCGGGCCGTCAATCGTGTTGGAGCAGGTCAGGTCCTGTCTGGAGCACCTGGGGAAGAAGGACCTCCACCACGCCCGCCACCAGGAGAGCCCTGAGTTCCAGCAGCAGCTTGGGGAGCCCCCAAGCAGCCCCAACCCTGCCTCTCCAGGCTAGGCTCTGGCCCGGGCACTCAGCACCTGGCTTAGCTACCCTCTCAAGGGCTGGCCTCCAGCCTGCCTGGGCCACCCTTCCGGTACTCCCCTTGCCTGCCTGGGCCAGACCCCAGCGCCCGGTATCCCTTCCTTCAGTCACGTGTGGGCCTGCTGCCCTCCCACCTTGCCTGCCTGCCCACTTCCGGGGCACTTCCCACTCCACTCAGGCCTTGAGTGTCCACGTTAAATGGGTCTCCAACACAAGAAGGAAGAGGAGAAGGAGGAGGAGGGGGAGAAGGAGGAGAAATTAACTGAAATTATGTGACTCTTAAGCCCCAAACAACCTTGGGACAGATAAGCTAAGTGAAAGAAAGCATAATTTGTTTAATCTTTCTCTGTTTCACAACAGGCCTCAGCTCAATACGGGTTCCACACATCTGCAGAACCTCTGAGTGCAAAATCCATTACGTGAATGGAAATGACAGGTCAAGAGGCTCATTGTGGGTACAGCCAAGCTGTGGCAGTCACCATCCTCCTCTTTTGCCTCTCTCTCAGACCCAGACATATACAAGTTTTACTTGAAGAAAAAAAAAAAAAATAGAAGCAAATCTCTAAAATAGTATGAACTCGGGGTGCCTGGGTGGCGCAGTCGGTTAAGTGTCCGACTTCAGCCAGGTCACGATCTCGCGGTCCATGAGTTCGAGCCCCGCGTCGGGCTCTGGGCTGACGGCTCAGAGCCTGGAGCCTGTTTCCGATTCTGTGTCTCCCTCTCTCTCTGCCCCTCCCCCATTCATGCTGTATCTCTCTCTGTCCCCAAAATAAATAAACGTTCAAAAATAAAATAAAATAAAATAAAATAAAATAAAATAAAATAGTATGAACTCAAGGACATCTTCAGGCATCCAGAAACAGATACATTTAGCAATAATTTCTAACAATATTTTCATTTAACAATCAGTAGAAATTTTGCCTACCTCAGGGTGACCGACTTTATGATTCAAGATGCTCCTAGAAATTAATGACTTCTCCATCTGAAGATAAAGGGTGAGCAAAGTCATAGCATAGAAAGTTATCTGTACTGGCGCGCCTGGGTGGCTCAGTCGGTTGAGCTTTGACTCTTGATTTTGGCTCAGGTCGTGACCTCAGAGTCACAAGATCAAGCCCAAGTCAGGCTCTGTGCTGAGCATGGAGACCACTTAAGATTCTCTCTCTTCTTCTCCCTCTGCCCTGCTTTCCAGCTGTCTCTCTCTCAAAAAAAGTTATCAGTACAACAGACACATTTTGTTCAGTTTCACAGTTAATGCCACACACAGAGGGCATTTCACTAGGTTCAAATCTAAGTTGTGCTTTCTTGGTTTTAAACACTTCTTTGCCGCAAAACATATTGCAACCATACTTTGAAGCCACAACCAACAGAATAAGAACTGCAAAATACTTTTTGGTTCGGACCATAATGACCCCTTTTAAAATAAAAATTATGTTTACTACTACATACCTACTAAATATTTTCAGGGAAGCTGTCTTACTAACTTTTAAACTTAGAGCACTTTGCTACACAGCTAGTAATATCAAGCTAACTATACTTTCATCATTACATATACACAAACACATAGTTCATTGAAACCTTCCTTTAAGAGGCCTTACCAAATGGCATTCCCTAAATAAAATGCTGACTATTAACAGTAATCAACAGTCATTGAATATTTACTAAGTATCAGGAAGTGTTTCAGGCAGATGTTTATATATATATAAAATTTAATCCTCACACAGATCCTACAAGGTAATTCTATAATTAGATCTGTATTATCGAGAAGGAAACAGCAACAGAAAGATTAAATAAATAGGCCAAGGTCACGCAGCTAGTACGTGTCAAAGTCAGGATTCAAACTCAAAGGTCCCGACTCCAGAGCCTATACCCTTAACCACGATAATCATTTTTATATTAATTTTAAAAATCAACTATTCTCAGATACACATTTTGTAAACAACAAATTGCTAGCTTGAAGGAGACAGCAACATAAACAATTTCTCATATCTTCAAAGGCTTTCCAGTTCAGAAAATAGATTAAGACAAAATAAAACCCACCCATCAGACGGTTCGGTTGCCGTACTCCTCAAACATGATGAATTCGTTTCTTTGAGGTTACACATTAATCTATATAAAGCCCTGTGAGACATCATCTTCAAGAATCTGACATGTACCCTTGTACACACAGGGTAACTAATACGAGGCAGATCTCACATATTTCCTGAACCAACACCACAGCTGGAGAAGAAGAAATCAAGTACGAGTCTCCAAACTGTTGACAGTGCACTGCTAATGAGCAGAGAAATTCATCACACGTATAGCCATTGTACGCACGTTTGTTCATAACTTACAAGGACGCATACTGGGCTAACATATGTGTATGCATTCACTCTTACATACATGTAAAAATACACATTAAGGAAGAGTTGCAGATTACCTCTGGCAAAGGCAGACTAGCTCATTTCAGACAAACCCTCCCGCTGGTAACAACTAGGAAAACTGGCAGAAAGTTTCAATTTGGAGGCCAAAAAAGCTGAGCAGAGCTTTTAACAAACTTACAGACCTGGCGGAAAAACTGAACATCAGGGCTTGCCAAGAAACAGGGAGCCTCAGGCTTTCATGTGAGACCTCAAAGGGCTACTCCCTAGAGGTGAAGGTGAGCCTATAAAAGAGACCAGCTTCAGAGGGACTAAAGCTCAGCAGAAACATCTTCATCTGCCGATCAGTCAGGTTGATCTGCCAGCAAGGTAAATAAATCCCCCCTGGGAGAAGAAATCCAACGAAGGCTCAAATTACCTCCATAAGTTTTCAACCATAAGGTCCAGTATATAACTCGAAGTAATCAGGCACACAAGAGATCAAGATTGGACAAAAAACTGAGAGAAAAAGCAGTTAAGAGACACAGATTCACATGAGATCTATATATTGGGAGTTAAGTTACAGGAACTTAAAAATAACTCTTGCTAAAATGTTCAAGGACTTAGAGGCATCTGGGTGGCTAGTCGGTTGAGTGTCTGACCTCAGCTCAGGCCATGATTTCAAGGCTTGTGACTTTGAGCTCCACATCGGGATCACTGCTGTCAGCACAGAGCCTGGAGCCTGCTTTGGATCCTCTGTCGCCCCTCTCTCTTTCCTCCCCTGCTTGTGCTCTGTCTCTCAAAAATAAATAATCACTTAAAAAAAAAAGTTCAAGGACTTAGACGGGTAACAGAAATTTCAGAAGAGAACTAGAATTGGTAATAAGCAGCAGAAGCAAATAGTTTACTTTGTTTTTTAATCAAATCATTAGATTTGAATTTTTAAAAATCAACTATTCTAGGGGTGCCTGGGTGGCTTAGTCGTTAAGCATCCGACTTCGGCTCAGGTCATGATCTCACAGTTCATGAGTTCAAGTCCCACGTCAGGTGAGCACGAGCCCCGCTTTGGGTAAGCTCGAGCTCCGGGTGAGCCTCACTTCTCTATGTCTCTGCCCCCTCGCTCACTTGCACCCCTCCCCCAAAAAATCAGATATTCTATTAGATATCAGATCAGATATTCTAGATCTTAAAAATACAGTAAATGAGGGGTGCCTGGGTGGCTCAGTGGGTTAGACATCTTCATCTTGGCTCAGGTCATGACCTCATGGTTCGTGACATGGAGCCCTGCTATGCTGTCATCGCAGAGCCTGCTTGGGATTCGCTCTCTCTGCCCCTCCCCCACTTGAGCTCTCTCCCTCTCAAAATAAATAAATAAACATTTTAAAAAGCCCCACAGTAACTGAAATTATTCCAGGTATGGAACTCAAGGGTATATTTAACCTTTAATATATACTAATTTCTAAAACAGTTCAGAGCGAAAGAAATAAGTGTGTGACAACTTTTGAATTCATTCAAGACTGTCTATGAGCTTTTTAATCAAATCTAGAAAATTTGTATTTAAATGAGTTGTTAAGGGGAAAAACAAAAAGAGTAACTTTCCTACACTCTATTTTCTGGTGCTTAAATCCAGTCACTGATACAGACTGGGCCTGGCTAAGCATACTTTACCATCAAGAACAAATCTTTCCCCACAATACCTACTTCTTGCCTTACACTGATTTATGAGTATTTTCTATCTCTGATCATTTTAGAATAAATACCAGACTCAATGAGAACTGATATTCCCAAACTTCTAAGTTATAACTAAATTAACGTGCGTGCAAGATAATAATCAAATACTGTCTTTCGCAGAAGCACACTGACTACATACTTGCTATGTATTTGTGCCACCATCAACGGTCCTGGGTAACTGGAGAGCTGATACATTGCCACAAGGCCCAACTGTGTTGTTTGCATCAAATGTCCTTGATGTTTAGTAAATAAATGTTAGCTTTGAGTCCCAATGGTTTATTTTGCAGATCCTAAGACAAGAAACAGAACTAACACTGAACTCAAGGATAGCCATGGATAATACATTCAAAATATCTGGAGAAAAAAAAAATTTTTTTTGCCACATTAACTTCTCACAGATAAATAAATGCTGTGCTGTACTTTGCAGGGAGAAACAGAAAGACAGAAAGAAGCTGGCTAATAGCTATAATAAAACCACTGCTCCAAATCCTCAATCATTAGTGGGAATCATTAAATGTATCAGTAAGGATCCTCTGAAAGATTTTTAATCAGAGGAGTGACATGATCAGGTTTATACATGAGAAAAATCACTTGTGTTGATCTTTTTAAAGTTTACTTATTGGGGTGGGAGGGGCAGAGAGAGGGAGAGAGAGAATCCCAAGCAGGCGTCACGCTGTCAGTTGTCAGTTGTCACGCTGTCACGCTGTCAGATTGAGGAGCCCATCCTCAATCTCACGGACGGTGAGATCGTGACCTGAGCCGAAATCTAGAGTCAGACGCTTAACCTACTGAGCCACCCAGGTGCCCCACTCGTATTGATCTTTAATAATATGAGGTTTCCTTTCTTTTTCCAGGTGAGATATGGGCTGCCGATAGGAAAGGAGAGGGTTAGCTGAGAGGGAGCAGTTATGGAGTTAAGGTAACAGAACAGAGCACGGTCCCTGCACCAACGACAGCCCAGACTGGGGGGTGGTATGGCACGCAGGACACAGGCGGGGACACTGCCCTTAAAGAGGAGAAAAGGGGCACGTTTCCCGTTGTCCCAGAAGGATGCGGGAGAGTAACACTGGAGTTGACTTAGAGACATTTCTAGGCCATAATGCATCTTTCTCAGGAAACAGGAAGTAGGGTATCTGCTCTAGAGGGAAGCACAGAAAAGGTTTAAAACCCCACTGAAGTTCACTCCACAAGAAATCCAGTCTCTAGTCTACCTGGTTGTATGTGTTGCCTTCAAGTCAATCTCATGGTACACGTATGCCTCAAAATAGCAGCTGAAAGGAGATGCTTTTAACCTAACCTTCTACGTGAGTGCAATGTGTCAAGAGAAATGCTGGAATGTTCTCACTGTAATGGAAAGAGATTTCTTCAGCCTATCTCAACGCCAATTTTCACTGGTGTTCTCATTTTTCTGTCCTGCACAGCTCTGACACTCCTCTTCCTACTTCTTTATGTGAACAAGAAAATGCAGTTTGTAAAATCCTTGCCTCTGGTTTATTTCACTTGAACAAAATGAATTCTTCGAGTCCTGGCCCATATTGTAACTGTTCTCAGTGTAGACCAGCGCCTCATTCAGATTCGTCCTATTTCTCAGCATGGATTTTTCTGACACATATACAAGATTAAATTCTTGTACGACAGTCCACGTACTGATTTAATGAATCAAGAAACACGAGTTCTGATATTAGCTCTTTTCTTAGGATTTAAGCTTCCTCTAAGAGTTCTCCAAACTCTAATGTTTGATGATTTTAGTTATTAGTTCCCGAGTCCTCTGTTAGTTGTCTTTTACTGCTTCAAGTCTAAAACAAATACCACTTTCTGGTTCACTACTACGTGAGCTGTAATCACTTGTTGATCTAGGCAAAAATTATAGCTACAGACAAATTCTTCTGCGACTTACACTGCCTGTCTTTCCTTATCTTGAAAAACAGTGATGTGAGGTTGCCCCTTGCGTGGGAATACGATGCTTCTGCCCCACATCCGGGCAGATGCTAGTTTGAACTGTTCATGTAACATGCTACTAATTCTTTGTTTCTTACCTAGTGCTCGTTGTACCCGAAAGCACATCTTTGGCCGGCACTGAAAGCTTAGTACCAGGACCCAAAACAAAGCAAATCCATCTCTACGTGGAGACTGAACCTTGACCCCAGACGTAGAGTGCTTTAACTGAGCTAACCCGATGTTAATGTATCAACCATGATTGTCTACTGTGACTAAGACACACTTCCTAGATACAGTGGGGCGAAGACAGACACAGATGAGAAACTGTCACCTAAGAGCTTACACTCTAAGGTTAGCACCTAAAATATAAAAAGAACTCATACAACTCAATAGTAAAAAAAAAAAACAAAAAAAAAAAAACAAAAAACAAACAAACAAAAAAAAACCAGGTTAGTAAAAAAATAATCTGATTTAAAAATGGACAAAAAACCTGAATAGGTATTTCTTCAAAAAAGATTTATGAGGGGCTCGGTCAGTTAAGCATCGGACTTCGGCTCCGGTCATGATCTCACAGCTCGTGGGTTCGAGCCCCATGTCGGGCTCTGTGCTGACAGCTTGGGGCCTGGAGCCTGCTTCGGATTCTGTGTCTCCCTCTCTCTTTGTCCCTTCCCCCCTCATGTTCTGTCTCTCTCTCTCTCAAAAATAAATAAACATTAAAAAAAATTTTTTTTAAAGATTTATGAAAAACCAACAGGCACACGAAAAGATATTCAACATCATTAGTCACTAGGGAATGCAAATCAAAACCATTATATCATCAGTTAGAATGGCCATCACCACAAAGACAAGAGATAACAAATGTGGGCAAGGATGTGGAGAAAGGGGGAACTCTTGGTGGGAATGTAAATTGGTGCAGCCACAACGGAAAACAGTATGGAGAATCCTCAAAAAATTAAAAATAGAACAACCATATGATTCAGCAATTCCGTTTCTGGGAATGTATCCAGAGGAAATGAAAACACTAACTTGAAAAGATGTCTGCACTCCCATGTTCTCAGCAGCATTTTTTATAATAGCCAAAATATGGAAACAGCGAAGCATCCATCTACGGGTAAACGGACATTGTTATATGCACATGCACGCGCACGCGCGCGCACACACACACACACAATGTAATATAATTCAGTCCTACAAAAACAAGGAAATCCTGCCACTTGCAACGACATGGATGAATCTCGAGGAGGTTATGCTAAGTGAAATAAACCAGACACAGAAAGACAGATCGTGTATAATCACACTTATATTTGGAACCTAAAAACAAAACAAAACAAAACAAAACTCATAGGAAAAGAGATCAGATTTGTGACTACCAGAGATAGGGGTGTGGGGCGGGAGAACCGTACTGAGCTGGGAAAAGGCACAAACTTCCAGGTACAAGACAGATAACCCGCAAGGTAGTATACAGAGAGTGACGGTGGCTGCTTGGCCGCCTGGTACATAGGGAAGCTGTGAAGAGAGTAGATCCTAGGAGTTCTCATCATAAGGCAAATATTTTTTCCTTTTTTTGCTTTCTCTTTTTATTGTTCCCATATGAGATAATGCATACCGACTAAACTCACTGTTGTAACCACTGCACAAAATGTGCAAGTTAAACCATTATGCTGAACACCTTCAGATTTGTACAGTGAGGCATGTCAATTATGTTTCAATAAAACTGGGGGTAGAAGGAGTTTATGCTCCCACAGGAAATGGGTACCGACCCTGTCCTAAACTGCCCTCTCCCCTCTGCAGAGAGGAGTGTGACCAATCACAGGCAAGTTGAGAATTCAGAGGAAGGAAAAAGACTTTTATTTGTAGGGAGGGTGTAATGTGTGGATATTTAAGAATATTCTACTACAGGGGGCCCTGGGTGGCTCAGTAGGTTAAGTGGCTGACTCTTGATTTTGCCTCAGGTCATGATCTCACGGTTCTTGAGTTCAGGTTCAAGCTGGGCATCAGGCTCCTTGCTGACAGCATGGAGCCTGCTTGGGATTCTCTCTCCCTCTCCCTCTCTCAAAATAAATAAAAAAAAAATTACAAAAAGAATATTCTATTACAGAAAATAGTGTAAATAGGGAAGAGAGATGAAACTAAGAGTAGAATCACACAGCTTGACATGCTAGATAGAGGAAAGGTAAATAGAGCATACTTGTGCTAAATATAGACAGGAGGGAATGGAAGCATCAAAGATCACCAAATGTTCATCATAGAGGACAGCACCGAGTATTCATGAAGGTACTGATATTAATGACTTATTAATTCAGCCACCCATTAGTGAGAGCCACTCAAGACCGACACACCCTTTGCCCGAGAAACACACATGAAATGCGTAGCTGCTGCTCACGCTAACAGCACTCGCCGGGCACACTGGTGCCAGCGTTTCTCCCGGAGGGCGAGTGTTGGCTCCAGGAACAGCCTGAGGAGCTGTCCTGCTCACCTCTGTTCTGGTCCACGCCACCAGGCGGGAAGTCTGACACAGTGGAGAGAGGACAGGACGTGTGAACACTGTAACTCAGCTCTCAGGTCTGCACGTGCACCCTAAGTGTGCGGAGGGGGAATTTCAAGAGAAGAAACAAGCATAAGGAAAACACAAAAGTGAGCAAATACAGGATGTGTTCTAAGAACAAACTGCTGGGCTTTGGAAAAGGAGTACTGTAGGAAAGCAGGGAGTGGTCAGACTGATCAACCGAGGCGGGGCTGTATCTTGATGAAAAAGGAATTTAAACCCGTGCTTCCCACACTACCTGTTGTGGAAAGAGCAGCTTTTTTTTTTTGGTCTTCCAATAAGCCATGAATCACTTACTAGAAGAAAAGCAGAGGAGGGAAAAGACACTTAAAACACAAACGCAGCGGCGCCTGGGCGGCTCAGTCAGTTAAGTGTCCGACTCTTGGTTTTGGCTCAGGTCGTGATCTCGCTGTTTGTGAGTTCAAGTTCAAGCCTTGCTGACAGCATGGAGCCTGCTTGGGATTCTCTCTCTCTCTCTCTCTCTCTCTCTGCCTCTCTCCTGCTCATGCTCTGTCTCTCAAATTAAATATATAAACTTAAAAAAACTTTTTTAGACACAACCCAATACTTAAAATTAATTCAATCCAGGTAAAATTTACCCTGTTGAAAGGCCATGGAAGTTTCTGGACACTCAATTCCTGGAGTGCTTTCACTGCAGGCAGGTAACAGCTATCTGGTGGACTGTCCCCAGACCAAGGGCTGTGATTTGAGCAGCTCTGATTCAGACTTTCTGTGCATGGAACCGAGAAGGCATTAAAGGCTGTTGAACCAGGGGCTGGGGC